TTTTAAATAAATAAAAGGGTTAAGTAAGTTATGAACAAACTGCCATAAAGCCTATTAATTTAAAAAATTACTGGGGAAATTGTTGTTACCATAGAGCGAGAGGAAATGAAAGGGAATAAAGAAAGGCCTCCAAAGCTCCACCCACCCAGAAGGGGAATCTCTCCAGCACTTCCTTGCTGCACTGGAGGCACTGGTGAGTTTGTGTGGAGAAGAGCCTAGAGATATTTCTGGATTTTCCAATTTCATGGAGGTCCCGCACCACTAACCCCCATGAATGTGGAAGGCCAACTATAGTGATCTGACTTACATACAGATTTGACTTAAAGAGAAATTCCTGTTTTCTCAGGAAAGGAACTTGTTCATAACCCAGGGGCTGCTTGTACTGTCTTTAATTTCCAGTGTTAGAGCTGCAGCATTAACTATATTTTCATATTGTCCCAAATTACCCCTATATTGGCAAAGTGGGGATGCAAAGCAATTTGCTTGCTTATGCAGAGTAGGATGATTGTGAGTGAGGGATAGTTGGTGGAGGAAGGAGAGAGGAGGTGGATTACTTGGCCCTTATTCCTTCCCTTCCCTCTCCTCATTCTCACCAATCAGTAAAGTCAGCTTTAAAGTATAGTCCAGAACTCCAGGTCTACATTCATACTCCTAGTGCCAGTAATCTACAGGGTGAAGTTGATGGTTCTGCTTGAAGAGAAGTCTACAAAATCTTATTCAGCATAAATTTCTGCATTATACTGTGAAATGATAGCATTTTCTTAGCTATGGGTATTTTATTCTCTTTGCAGAAGCCAAAGAAACCGCCACCTCCTGCAAAAGGTCCAGGTATGTAAGAGGCCAGGTGTGGCCTGGAGCTTGTTTATGTGTTGTGGGCAAACCCTCCAAGGTATATTTCTCTTGGAGATTGAGATTTTTGTTAAGATTCTGCTATTTGGTTTATAATGTTACTAAAAGTAGTTTACAACACAGTTAAAACATAAGCAGACGCAGTTAAACAGTATTAAACATCAGTGGTGAAGTGTTGCTGCAGCTGAGATCTGTGCAGAACCGATTGACTGACTGATTGATGATGCCCAATGGCTGAGGCTCTCTGGACAGTTAGCAAAAGTAAAAAAACAAAACAAAACAAAACATAAACATAAACCAACAATAGCAATTGCACTTGAATCAGGAAATAAGCATAGCAGCAGTACAGAATAAAATGCAATTTAAAAAATAAAGTGTAAGAGTTAACTGTTAAAATCTGGAAGAATAAAATAATACACCAATTTGGTACACCTTGCAGTGAAAAGAGTACAAGTCCCAGGTGAGTTCATTAATCTGTTGGTGATGACAGGTTTGTTGCCCCAGCTGTGGGCAGTAGGTTTCTTGGGATACCCAAAAAGAGAGATGCCAATTCCAGGTTTACTAAGAAGGGGATTATTTATTATTGCAATAATATCCAAAGCTAGCTAGACTTCCATGGCATTTAGCAGCAAGCCTCTTACACTGCGCAGCAAGGACCCCATCAGGAAGGATTCCAATCAGCTGGATTCATGTAGAGTCAGCAGAATCAAAGGAAGTGGCTGGCTTATATAGATTACAGACTCATGGTATTGTGACGCATGTGTACAGCATTCTGTACAATTAAAAGATATGATTACTGGAATAGTTTTGATACTACTATTTACACAGGTGCTAATAAATAATGAAGTACTGTGAGCTAGTAAGGAGTATTCCTAATGGGATGGCCAAGGTTCCCTCTGCCTAAACATCTAAGCAGGGGCTCCTGGCTGCCTCTTGCCTGCAGAAGCAATGGCTGATAAGGAATGTTAGAAGTGCAGTGTGTGTGCCTTTTGGGCCACCAGCTTATCATAAAACTACTCCTTAGTTTTATGAAAGTACGGGAACCCTAAACTAAAGCATTGCAGTGCAATGTAAGCGACTAGACTTTTACGCCAAGTGAAGCAAGCATTTTAGAGAGCTAGAAACCCAGGCCTGTCTTTTTAAGGGTCAGGCCTGCTACAACAGGGAGAAAGAATAATCTCTAACAGTGCATGAAATACTTTTGCTTGGCATTCTAAATGCTAAGTACATAGTCCTGTCCTAATGTAAAGCTGTGATTTTGTAGTAATTATACATAACTAGATTAATGTTTTACATGGTGGCTATGCTATAGAATTATCTTTCTTAATAAAGATTCTGAATTTCCCACACAGTGCAGAATACTTCTACTTTTCAGAGTGTGTCTGTGTTGTGTTGTCTGACATGTAGGACAGATTTGGCAATATATATTGTAAGAATAGCTAATGCTTATTACAATTCTCCTTTCCTCCAAAGAGCAATGCAATCCATAAGTTAATTACTGGTTTTACTTTCAGGTTCAAAACCAGAGCTTTCGTCTCTGGAGAAGTTTCCTATTCCTAAGAATGAAGAAAAGGGTAAGACCAATGTTATGCCTCACAACATTCAGAATATAAGTGCCCACAACTAAGTTTTAAAATAAAAACAGTGATTAGAAATAAGTTAAACAAGAAGGACCTGTTTTATATCAGTTTTACAGTTTTAAAACCAATAATCTTAAGGCAAATTCTGAATGCTTGAGTTTAGTAATACCAGGGCTCTTGATCATGCCAGATGACTTAAAGTGTTCAAGAAAGGAACTAGCCAGCTTGCTAAATGTCAGAAATGTTTTCATTGACAAGGAAGACACATATGACATACCTGTTTCTGGAGCCTGAAGTCCATTTCACCATGAAGACTGGAACTTAGAGGTACCTGGGAACTGTGTGGGTTCTCTGGTCACCAACTAAGCTTCATTCCAAACATTCCTAATTATCTTCCCAGATGCGGCCTCTTGTGTCATCCAGATCTGGGCAGCATCGTTTGTTGGAGTGGGGAAATGATCCTCAAACAACTCACAAATGCCCATAGGTTACTTGTTGCATCCCACAAACCTGTTCTCTGGCTTGTGCTTGCTCAGCAGACCAAACCTGGGAGGGGAGCATGTTGTGTCTGTATGAACTGTTGTGCACATCCATCACAATTTAAATGAGCCTTGTTTAAGCAGTAATGCTTGTGTGTGTTGTGCATGCTAGGCCACCTTAGTATGGAGCACATGCACAACAGTGTGGACCAGATCACAAAGACACGACATGTTAAATGAACAGAGTATAATGGCTTAGGTGAAGATTGTTAATTTTCCACTTCAAATACTGTATGCAGGAAGATTTGCTTTGCCTCCCTGCTCCCTCCTATAGCTTGGAACTTCACAGAAAAGCACTTCTTGCAATACTTGTAGGATGATTTTTGTATGCAATCAAACTGTCTGCACTGAGTGAGCACTGAGTGAAGGAAGGTGGCTTTGCTTGTAAGTTCTTTTGTTGCTATGGACCATGCCATTTGTATCACAAGTTGGCAACAATTCTGTTGGACTGGAGGGTCATGACACTTGGTCATATCACTGGCCGCAGCATCCCCTTCTTGCATCCTTCCTCACCTATACAAGGACTATCAAGGAAAGTGGGCATCATGGAGAAAGGTTGCTGCATGGAGGGACTCCTCTGAGACACATGTACCCATCTCATGCACTTTTAAAAAGTGTCATGCCCCGTTGGCTGCAGTCTCATGACCACCAGATTCTGCACTACCGGAAAAAAAACACTTCATATTATCGAACCTGCCACAGAATGCTCCCATTCCACTTCAGTGGAATGTTTGACAAAGAGAGCCAATGGCATGTCTGCTGCTTGGGGAACCCATTGAGATTAGCCCTACAAGTTAGCATTTCTGTTACTAGAAGCAGCAGATTCACATATTCCTCTAGTAAAAGCACCTCTGCTGAGTTTCAGCCAGTGCAGAGAAACTCAGTGATTGCTAGGCATCAGTGGCTCCTCTCACATACAAGATGTAGTGCATACCATTTGTTGAAGTAGTCAGAGGTTCCTTTCAGCACTGACCTCCCTGGGGGTGTTGCTCTGAAATTTGCAGGTCCAGTCATTCTCCCAGGGGAATTTATTTCAAAATAGAGTTGCTGGCTACTAACTGGGGCTGATTGATGCGACCATGTGACAACAGTTCTTCCTTAGCTTCACTGGCTTCTCAATTTTTTTCAGGTCCAAAATGTTGGTGTCAGCTAATGATGGGCAAACATATCCCAGAGCAAATTGTAATTTGCTGATCAGTTTATTACTCCTAGTATCCAGTCTTGGCTAACCTTTCTCCGTTATTCTGAGATCACATTTTATACAAACAGCTACTGAAGCATCAGTCTTCTCCCGGCCCAGGTGGCCTCACTCTCCTCCTGACCTCTGCTCCCTTGAAATGTTGCATGTGCACACACAGCTGCACAGGTTTCTTCACTGGGAAAACCCATGCCAGATATTATTTATGCAGGTCTTCCCTGTGATGTGCATCCTATGTAGCTGTAACATGTTCTATGGTTTGTTCTTTATTAGTTACATGCACCATTTTGAAATTGGCAGATGTACTTTTTCCGTAATCATATATTAATGAATAAATGTGACCTTACACCCTCATGTGTAGTCCAGAAAGTGCTGCCAGGCTGAAAGCCTGTCATTGAGAAGATCTGCGCTAGTATGGGATGGAGTTGCTGGACATGATTGGAAATAGTGGCCACAGTTCTGACAGATTTAATACACATTTAAGGGAAAGATTGCTAAAGAGATCCAATGCGGTCCAATGTGAACTTCAAAAGAAGAAGCCTTTAAAATGAATGCACCAGTAAAAAAAGAATTTGAATGGGGAAGTCCAGAGAATTAAATCCCTTCAAAGTGTTTCTAGAATACTCAAAAACACATAAGAGAAGCTCAGATAGTGATTGGCTTTGCATGACATGACAGACAAGCAATAATAGAAAAGAATAGTTATGTGTCATACTGTCTGAACCCACTTGTGACAATTGACCATTGTGACTTACCATGGTCGTCAGTCACAATATTGCTAACAACATCAAGGCTAAAAAACTTAGAAAATCTTTAAATATGTCAGAAGGAAGAAAGCAACTGAAGAGATAGTTGGACCATTGGATGATAATGTAATTAAGGAAGTACTAGAGAAGGTTAAGGAGATTTCAGAGATGCTGAATAAATTCTTTTTATCTGTCTTCAAAGGATGCAGGACAGATACCTGTACGTCAACTGATGTTTACAGGAAGGGAGTCTGAGGAATTAGGGCCAATTGTGGTGATAAATGATGAAATTCTCAACCTTACTGTCATTCTGAAAGTTCGTAAATCAAGCCCAGATGGTTTCCATCCTAAAGCTCTTTAAGAGTTCAAATATGAAAATGCTGACCTTCTAACAAAAATATATAACATGCCCTAAGAGCAGTGTCTGTAGCAGAGAATGGCCAGTGAAACACCAATTTTTAAAAAGGGATCCTGGGAAAATTTAGGAAATTACAGGCCAGTTAGATTAATATCTGTTCTGTGTAAAGTGAAAATGTTATTAAAGTTAGAATCAGTAAGTATATTGAGGGAGAAGCTCTGCCTAAAAAGAATCATTCTGGCTTCTGCAAAGGCAAGTCTTGTCTCAGTAACCTGCTAGCATTCTTTCAGATTGTTAATAAACACATGGACGGGAGTAATAGGTTAGATATTAATTACTTGGACTTTTTTTTCCTGATTTATATCCTGCTTTTTTCCTACAAAGGGCTCAAGGCAGTTTACATCATTCTCCTCCTCCATCTTATCCCCACAACAACAACCCTGTGAGGTAGGTTGGGCTGAGAGTCTGTAACTGGCCCAAAGTCACCCAGTTGGCTCCATGGCCGAGCGGGGATTCGAACCCGGATCGCCTGAGTCCCCATTTCATGCTCTTAACCACTACGCCACACTGGCTCTTTCAAAAGCCTTTTGACAGAACTCAGCAAAGACTCCTGAGCAAACGTAACAGCCACGGAATAAGAGAGGAGGTCCTCTTATGCATCAGTAACTGGTTAAAGAACAGAGGAATAGGCATAAATAGTAATTTCTCCCAATGGAGGGGTGTAACCAGTGGGATCCCAGAGGGTTCTGTATTAGGAACTATGCCTTTCAGTCTATTCATAAATGATTTGGAATGAGGAGAGAGTATTGAAGTGGACAAGTTTGTTTATGAAACAAACTAGAGTGGTTAAAACAAAAAGGAATTCTGAGGTCTTCCAGAGAGATCTCTCCAAACTGAGAGAAAGGCATCAAAATGGCAAATGTGGTTCGGTGTAAGCAAGTGTGAAGTAATGGAGGTTGGGGCAAAAACTCCCTTCTTAAAATACAATCAGATGGGATTTCAGCTAGCAGTGACCAAGGAAAGGACCTTGGGGTTTTTGTTGATGAAAATGTCAACCCATTTTCAGTGCTGTAAAACCAGAAAACTATGTTAGGCATAATTAGAACAGGAATTGGAAATAAAACTGTTAGGATCTTGCTAGCCTTATAGAAATCTTTTGTTTGACCACACTTAGAATACTCTGTAAGTTCTTCGTCGTGGCCTCTGTGCATCACATGGGTGCTGCGCCTGCGCAGTGCCTGTGGCTGGAAGATTGAAAGCTAACAGTTTTTGGCGGGAAACTCCCCTCCCCTCCCCCTCAACAGTATATATAGAGCGGAGTGTCCGCCATTTTACTCAGTCTTTGCGACCGCTGTTCGCCATGCCTCGTGCCACTATCGCTCTCACCTAGACTTTCAATTACTTTCCTAGTTGTTCTTGTTCATTCTTCTCTTATTCCAAGTTCATATATCCCAAGTTCTCTAGTTTTTTCTCCTTTTGATACTATCTCTCTTGTTCTAAAACAAAAACAAAAAACCCAAAATATTATCTTCTCCTGCTGCACTATCCTCTTCCTTTCTTTTTCGCAATGGCACAGTGGGCAGCCTTCCGCAAATGTGTGAAGTGCGGCTCCAAAATGTCACCGGCGGACCCACACGACCTGTGCCTCCTCTGCTTAGGCAAGGGGCACAGGACAGATAAATGTGGGCACTGTTTGGCCTTTACAAAGCAGGCCAGGAAGAACAGGGAAAATCGCCTGAGGAAGCTACTTTGGGACCAAGCTCTCTTGCAATCAGACCAGCTGGTTGCGAAGTCTGCTTCTGCCTTGGCCCTTGCCCGATGTCCGGCTCCTGCTTCGGCCACGCCCTTGCGCCGCCCTGCTCCTGCCTCTGCCTCAACCACGGCGCCTTCGCGCCATTCAGATGAAGGCATGCCGACTATGGCTCAACAGCCTGCTTCGCCTCCCAAGAAACAACGGGAGAAGTGCAAGCATACTGGTTCCGAAAAGCCCTCTGGTCACAGGAAGGACAAACCGGATAAACCAGCTCGAAAGGCTAAAAAGCCTGAGCGTGACAAGCCCCGTAACTCGGGTTCGTCGGCAATCGTGGTACCGACACCATCGGGTCCAACGCTCCAAGTTGCCATGCGGGTCACCCCTCCGGGTGCCCCTCACC